AGCGGGGCTCAAGCATGGAGGCGGACCAGGGGCTCGCTGAGCGCACGCGCGGGCGGAGCGGAGCGGAGGCGAGCCAGCACGGCGGCGCGCCCCGCGCGGGCGGAGATGAGCGGAAGCGAGCTATTGCATGGCCAGGCATGTATGGCCATTGTTTGAGTAGTATATGAGCAGAGTACATGGCCAGGCATGTATGGCAGTCAAGCCAGCGTGCGGACGGTGGCATGGCGCATGGTGGACGCGCTCTGCATGGACGAGCGACCCATGGACTCGACGAGCGGCGCAGCTCTTGGCGGCGGGGCGGGGCGGCTTTGCGGTCTGGCTCTCGGCCTCGGAGCTGCTGCGGCGCTGGGCGTCGCCGGGCAAGAGCGCGTCGACGGCGCCCTTGCCCGCGAGTTCGATGCCACGGCGGAGGACTCAGCCTGGAAGATGGAGTGCGGGGGCAGGAAATAGACGGTTCCCGGCTGCAGCACGTCGTCCGGCCGGAACAGCGCGCGGCCCGGCTGCAGCAGGTGCGCTGACGAGCACAACACGTACCGGCCGACGAGCACAGCGGTGGCGCGCGCGACGGTTACGGGCCGCCCAATGCCCGTGACGAGAAGCCGCACCCCATGGCAATCAAGCCAGCGCGCGGACGGTGGCATGGCGCATGGTGTGGACTCCGTCGCGCGTGCTCGCGTGCCGCTACGAGGGCGGGAGGCGCGGCCACGCGAGCTCGGGAGGGCGGGAGGCGGTGTCCGGGCGGGAGCGCGAAACCTTCTTCTCCGCGGCTGCTCCGGGGAGGCGCGACGCGGAGCCAACGACGGGCGACGGGGCCGGCCGCTTGCGGCTCCTCCGGGGAGATGCGGGCGAGGCCGGCGACTGGAGATGGGGCCGGCCGCTTGCGGCTCCTCCGGCGAGATGCAGGCGAGGCCGGCGACTGGAGACGGGGCCGGCCGCTTGCGGCTCCTCCGGCGTGATGCGGGCGAGGACGGGGCCGGCTCGCCGCTGGAGAGTGTCCAGGACCGCCGGAGCGAGGAGCAGGGGAGAGAGGAGAGAGAGCAGAGGAGTGAGGCGGGCGTGCGGGAGAGAGCTTGTCTTTTTTGCATGCACCACGTGGTGGGCCAAGCCAGGAAAAGAAGGAGAGAGAGATTAGAGAGGCTGGCAGTGGGTCTTTCGCAGTCAAAGTATCATGCCGGCGCCCCCAGCTGCCACCCGGTTTCCTGGGTTCCGCTTGCGCGCGCCGGTCGTAATTTTAGGCAAATCCGGCGCAAAACGAGCTTCTGGGATGTGACTGGGATGTTTTTTGATCGCCGGTGCTAAAAAAGGCTGCTGGGGGCTTCTTGGGGAGGCGGCTGGAGATGCTCTTAGTCCCTTCTGATTTGCCTCCTCCCCTTTCTTTTCCACTCCGTTTTTTGATTTGCCTGAACCTCGCGTGTTAGATTAGTGACTGGTCTAAATGGTTATATACCTACAGATATCTGGATTTCAGTTTCCTTACATGTATAGGATGCTTGGTCTCTGCAATTTAGCTTTTACTATTTAATAGTACAGAGCTAATCTTGCTATGAGCGAGCATGTATGCTTGAGAAATAATCATCCTAGTTAATAGAATAGTTTACAGTCACATTAAGGGTAAGCCAAGGTGAGTGTTTTGCATACAAGATGTTTGATGTTATGCCAAGGTAGGACATTATTGATATCGTGTGAAACTGATGCTCACTATGCGAACAGATTCAGGAGATCAAAAACGAGTAGAATAATATATCAACAAAAGTAGACTGATCCAAGTTTTATTTTTGTATCAGAATATGGATGGAGGATGGGGAATACATACAGAAGGCGGAAGCTCCATGCTTAGGTCAGCTCTCAACTACACTGCTCTAAGACTTCTTGGTGAGAATGTCGATGATGAGCAAGATATGTCCGTGCCAAAAACAAGGAAATGGCTACATGACCATGGTGGTGCGATGATGATAAAACTGGAAGCAAGGTTCTAGTTAATTTTCTCACAAGTCTGAAACTGCATGCTTTAAGTTAGTTATGCAGAATTCAAAGCGAGAGTAAAATCTTGAGGAAACTATTTATGTCGATCTGAACTGTATGCCTGCTGCTGCTGGTGCAGGTGCTTGGATTTTTTGACAAGTCAGGTGTAAACCCTTCCCCCTAGAATTATTCCTTCTGCCATCCTTGGTTCCTATTCAACTAGGTACGCAGTGTCGGTGTGGGACTATTCGAGCTTGTGCCTGCAAAACTCTACTGACGGATGATTTCTGCCATGTTTCTTATTCATTTTCATGTGGAAGTATTTGATATATCCTGGGTATGGATGGTTTGTTCGAGGAATGTTCCAGAATTTGTGAATCTTGCTGTACAACAATCAACACGAATGCTGAAACATTGATTCTTGCTGAAGGTAATACGTTTTTTCCTGTTCCCAGCATTTTCCTCATGTTTGTTTCTAAAACATTACTTAGCAAGGCTTATGTATGATTCGTGGAGTTTACTTAGCAAGGAGAATGTTATAAGTAATTACGAGAGATGATTGTATGTGGGCACGTGCAGACAATAGAGGAACAATTACCATTCTCTTTGTGTTTTAGTGAGTCTATATGGATGCACAGAAAGTGTTCTCTCTTCTTTAGTGGGTTATATGTTGGTGCATACAAAATGTATATGGTTATCTCCATTCTGTTTACATAATACATGGAGCTTATTTGCTTTGTCTTAAACTGTACCCCTCTGTAACTGTACTCCCTCTGTAAACTTTTATTCAGAGATTTTGTCTCAACCAGTGATCCAAAGTAAACCTATGAACATGAATTTTTGGGTATACATTGTCTCCTCTGCCAATTGATTTTCTTCAGATTAGTTGTATCATAATTTTCAAGAAGATTGCAAACCTAGCAATGAATGAGACTATCATCAGGATTGAAGATAGTTTAATATTATAACTATTTCTTTTGAAGTTTCACTGTTTATGTAGGTGACGATGGTAGATACATCTGTATCATGGCACTTCTCCAGCAAACAAAAGCTTGGTGGCCATCTACTTTACTTCCAGAGAGTTTGAAAACGTACTATCACGCTAATATTTAGTAGAAACATATGACATAAAAAATAGTTAGATGGTATTACTATCTAATGTATACCCAAAAATAGCTTTACAGGTCTGCTGTTGCTTTAATATGTTGTAGTTTCTCTGTATATTCTTATGCTAGATTTTATTGTTCCCATTTACACACTTCTAAAATTCAGGTCCTTTGAACATATCAGCTTTTCTCACTTATTCAGATTAATGCTAAGTGTTTTTTCTCTTGAATACTGATCTACAAAATTACAATTGAGATATTTTGCTCCTCTATTTTTCTTCTTGTCACCGTAGCACCTCTTAATTCCTTTTGAGGTCCACCAAGATAATGCAATAATCCCTGGAAAATATGTTCTGCACTTAAATAGACATCAGACTGAAGAATGGAAGGGTTGGATGCAAGTATTTTCATAGTTGATCTCCCTTTTGTCATCTTTTCTGGCTTTTATTCCACTACTCCCCAGTCATGCATGAATGCTAATACATCAGATTTATGCAGTCAAAATGTTTGACTATTCAATTATACATGTCATGCTACAGTGCTTACTTTCTTACCCCCTTCAGTAAGTTCTGCAAGACCAGACATCGTTTTACACATTTGTTTTTGTAATGATAGCATTGACTTTGTTTTTTTTCTGCTGCTTACTGATGCAGAACCTGAGTTGCGGCTCACTGAACCTGATGAAAACGGAATTCACTCTGGCAGAGATGCAGTGTTGTGGCAATTTGAGGTTCATGGGGTTAATGAGGAAAAGGACTATGAGCTATGTGTAGAAAATACCCAGTATTGCTATGCCAAGAAAGCAAGATAGTTGATGGTGGCAAGAAGCCATGAACCATCACTCTGCTATTACTGAACAAGATGATATCTAATTGGATAAGTTTAGAGTTGGAAATGTTTATATTCTATTAAAGGTTCATCTCTAGAACATTTCTTTCGTCAAGAGATGAGCCCTTACAGGTTCTGAATCTGTACGTGGACGATCTTCAAATACCTAGATGATTATTCTTTATATACCTGGATAATTATTCCGAATAAACAAAGCCGCACTATCATATTAACACAAGAAGTAAGCATGTTCCAGCATACAAATAGCTACTATTTGCGCTGAGTGGCAAATTCATAGTTATGGGCCATCAAGAAAAGCAAACACCCATGCCGGTGAGATATACCTGTTCCATATGACCTTGTGGAAGTAGTAAATTATTTCACCTTGGCAAAGCACAAACGGCCCAGCGCAAGCATGCCATAGCTCCCGTATAATGCATCATTAGAACTCCCTGCACAAAGGATTCATCATGTGAACGAGGCATACAATTCAAGGGACCATTCACCTTAACTTATAGCTGATTTTTTAACTGTTGATCACGAGTTATACTGCCTAAACTGGTACTGGATGCAGGGATCCACGACTTAACTAACGTGGTAGTACCAATTTACAATACATATAACTATAAGATTTTATTTCTCGAAATACAGGAGCCGCACCTCCTTGTTCTATTTCATAAATGAAACAAGAGTTTTACAGCAGTTAAGAAGCCATCATGCACATAACCGAGAGAAAGTGAGGATAATACAGACTGTATCGGTCAGACAATCAAAAACAGAAATTCTATATCAGTCACAACTCGGTGCTTCTCCTTTGCTGAAAAAACCAATCATGGCTCGCTAGTTTCTTTGTAATGCGCCTTAATAACTCGGTGCTCATCCTAAACCGACGCCGAAAGTACGACTTGGGGTACACGAGTTTATCCACAAAATAGTGCCTCATCAATCTGTTGTGGGCATCGATCCTATCCCTCCAAATTTTCTGCCGACCCATAACCGAACCACCGTGCTTTGATTTTTTATTGATGTGCACAACTAGGATCGTTGCAAGATCCTCCTCCTCTTCAATATCAAATTCTTCTTCGGAAGAATCATACGACGAACTCATCTACAATGTTCAATTTAAACTAGGCTATAAAACTACAAACAACATGCACCAAATTCATTAAAAAATGTGAAGTTGAAGCAATACATACCTTGCAAGCGTTTTGTCGAACACCTTGTGGGCGCCGAGTGGCAGTGGGTGGCCGGGCGCTGTTCGTCGGAGGAATAACGCGCGCGAGGGGCGGCGGCGATTAGAAGGAGATGGAGGAAGCCTTGGTCGGGGTAGGTGGAAGTCGCGAGCGGCCGCTCGAGTGTGCGGCGCGCGGAAGCGGGCGCATCAAATAAACGGCGCATGATGGCGTTTCGGACCACGCGCTGAACTCTTTATGCCACGCGCGCAGTTATTGCGCCTCCGCTGGAGCTCCCGGAGTGGTTGCGCGCGCGGAAAAAACCCAAAATTTCCTGTGCGGTGCTTATATAGCGCGGTTGTTGGAGATGATCTTACGTAGGTGTAGCTTTACCCCGATTAGCATACCTCAAGTTCATACAAACTCATGCAACTACGTAAACGATGCATTACACATAGTCCGGCTACTACATCACAATATGTCATTAGACTACCAAAATTTGGCATATTTTGCTATGGTGGAGAAGATAATTCCGGGCTGCATTTGCCCTTCTCGGTGCCATTGTCGTCCTTCTCGCGAAAGTACAGTCAAAGACATAGTAGGGATCGATCCGGATCTGCTCGTCACTAGAGCTGTCCTCACCATCGATGTCCTCCTTCTCCTCCTTTGGTGGCAGTCCGGCCATGGAACGGATCCCCCGATTCTACTCTCGGACGAGAGCGCGCGTGTTCCTGCGCTGCCACTTCTTCACAATGCGAACGTGGATGGCTTCCTCCTATACGGCCGTCCGCGCCGCCGCATCAGCAGCCTCCACCGTCGCCATTTCGGCAGCGAGTCGGGCCTCGGCGGCCCTTATCATCTACTTCCCACGGCGGGCACACCGGTCCCTGTGGGACTCATACTCCGGCAGACCGGTGATGGGGAAGGAGAGTTTTGAAGGCTGCCGGGAACACGATGATCCAGCCCGGAGGATCCGAGCGCCACTTGAGCCAACGCTATGGAGTCACACAGGACAGATATTGTCGTCGGCCGGGCGCTGTCCTCCTGGGAGCGGCGAACTGCAATGCTAACGGCCATTGCCTCCTCCAACCCGCACGGTATGACACTCCAGTCAACGAATCCGGACTGGCCGGAGTCAGATCCGTTGCCCGTCATGACGGAGAAGGATGGAGATTGCCGAAGATGAGCTCGGATGGTGGAGGGGAGAGGAGGGGTGAAATGAAGTGGCTAGGGTTTGGTCCGGCAAATGAATGGAAGGAATATATGTGGGGTCGGGTGGGCCAATGTGGGCCAGGTCCGACATGGCGGACTCGTTCGGGCGCACTCAGATGCCCCCATATCCGCTCCATATTTGAGCTGGATATGAGGGAGCCCGGTCAATTGAGGCCCGTTTGAAGCGCCTGTCTAGATCACATTTTCGTGACCGATCAGTGACCGGGCCGTCCACCCAAACATCTGAGGCAGGTTTGGGGCGGCCGGCTGTAGATGCTTTTACTGAAATCGAAAGGAACTAATTCCATGGAAGATTGGACTGTGTATGGCTGAATGTGCTGACGTGCTAACGACTTCACCGAACCATGACAGATGATAAAATGGATTAGAAGTTTCTGTAGTAAAAAGGAAAACTTCACATATAGTTATACTCGTTGCCTCTCGCTCGTTCTTCACTGCCAAGACCTTGTGCGCGCTCGAGCACGAAGATCCATGCTTATGGTGACACACTCTTTTTTTTTGACAGCTAAAAGACTTTATTTCTCAGATAATGGATATGTCTTTTACAATAAAAGGATAAATAAAATCAGGAATAGACTCTTCCCAAACTTCAGAGCTTCTAGACCTAAAGGAGGGTTTTGCTAAAGCATCAACCACTTCGTTAGAGCTTCTGAAGCAATGATCACATGATATTAATGCAAACTCCAGTCACATATGGTTGCACTCTGTAATCACAGCAACATTAGGTCCAAAGGCCTCCTATTGGTTCACAACCTATATGGCAGTTAAGCTATCAGAGTCAATGACCAAACGGTTGCAGCTGATCCTCTGTGCTAACAAAATCCTGTTTCTTATTGCATGTATCTCCGAAGAGTCAGCTGAGCACACATGAGGCAAGAACCATGTGTAGGCTGCGATAAAGCCACGAACTCTTCCCCCAGCGTACCCCCCGTGTCGCCTCCCCGAGCGAGGTGACAGGGGCGGCCCTCTCTTCCCCCGCCGCCTAGCCTCCTTCCCTCGCTCCCTCCCGCTACTGCCGTCAACCAGCGTGGCCGGGCGCTTGCCCATGCGGCGCCGTTCTTGGCCGATGGTGGCGGCCCCTGTTCCTTCCACTACCAGAAACTGTACTTTTCCTGTAGGTGACGAATTTTCCTGTGAGGCCCGAAGCCCATCACAGGAATATAAATTTTTCTGACGGGCTAAATTTGACCCCCAGGAAAATTGCCTATTTTCCTGAGAGTCCAGCCCACAGGAAAAATATTTGAGGCCTAGCCCGCCATTTCTCTACCGCAAAACGGGCTCTGGCGCCGGAAATTCTTACCTCCCGCGTTTTTTCCGCTTTGGCGCCTCAAATGAAACTTCCGCCGATTTTCCTGTGTGTATGGGCCTACAGGAAAAAAAGCCCATCGAGATGAATAGAATCCCTAGACCACCAACTCCCCACTTCGTCCCATCTCTCCATCTCACATCTGCTCCATGGCCGCCGCCCTCCTCAAACTTCCTGGCCGGCGCCGCCGCCCTAAATCGTTCCGGCGCCGCTCGCCCTCCACTCTCCCGACCTCCACTACTGGTCGTCTCTCACCTCCACCACCGCCGCCCGGGTCAACCTGTGTCCGCCACCGACGCCCACCTTTAATGTTCGTGACTTCCACCGTCGCTTGCCTGCAGCTCCGACCCTTGCTGCATCCCACCTTCGTCGGCCCACTCCACCCAACACGTCCTCCCTGGACGCGATGACCGTGCTCCCTGCTCCAGATCTGGGTAAGTCTGTTGTTGCACATCTAGTAAACTGCCTGCTCCTCCTTGTCTGACGTGACAGCAGCGGCCTCCTCCTCTCCGTTTTGTCCAAGCCAGTTGATCCATTTTTCTGTGGTAAGTCCAACCATGGTCATCCAAATAACGAAGTCAGGATCTTTAGTTGTTCATACAATTTATGTAGAATCTAGATCTGAGGGATCAGGATCTTGATTTCCTTCTTTTGCTGGTTCATTGGTGAAAAGAGTTGGCTTGTGAGTGGAAAAATAAGGGTCCCTTTGCATCTGTTTTCAGTATGTTGATTTGTTCAATTTTCAATTTGCTAGAAAGATTTTTGTTCTCTCACATATCTCAAAATTTTAGGACCTACTATTGGTTGTGTTATTAGCACTGACGTTAGCTGATATAATTGAGAAACTGAAAAGCTTCTTGTATCATTGCTAGATATGTACTTTTAAAATATGTACTGTATATAAAGATGAGGCCTATAACTGCTTTCTCAGTGGTATTTATGTATTTATGTACATTTGAAAAACTTTATGAGCAAGTTGTAGTATAATGTCTTGAAATCAGATGTCAAATATTTACTCTTTTTTCATGCTTGATTTCTTGTAGCTTGAATCTGACATATCAAGGATCCTTTGTTGAAGCTGCAGCCACACTGGTACAACTTCTATATATCGCCTCCCTTTACAAATAATTTTGGCAGTAAACGTTCAATTTTAGAAGCAAGTTAGTCATATTTTAGTTAGCAATGTAAGTAATTATTTGCATAGTTGTGCCACTCTCTTTTAGGTATTGTTTCTCATCTTTAGAAGTCTTTGTAGTGGAAGGAAGGCAAGGCAAAAGCTATCTCAGGTACCTCTCACACTTTGGAAATATACATACTTGCCTTTATGTGGCAATTATCTCTCAAATTGTTACCTTATTATTTGTTGTTGTCCTTATTTATTTGGCAAATTACTTATTTATGATGAGGTAGTGTAAATTGTTTTGAAACTATCCACCATCTATCCCTGACGCTAACTCAGTCTATCCTCATATGCACAGTGCCACTAATCCATTCCTCTAATCTTCTCCTGAACACATATTTGGTCGCAGGTACCTTGTTGTTTGGAACATGTCATCCCTTGAGCTCGGCACCTGTTCGCATATGCCCTGTTCGAAGAGTGAGTCAGCGCGTGTCCGTGCTCTGTTTTATGCGCGCGCGCGCGCGCGCGCGCGTGTGTGTGTGTGTGCTGAAGACTATAAGGAGTACATACCTCTTCTTTATGAAGTTCTCGCAGGTCAGCAACATGAGGTGATTAATGCACATGCATATCTATCTGATTTGTGTGTTTCTTCCATCATGTATCTAGACTGGCAGTCATATTCCTCAGTTACTCAAGGGTGTATGGCATGCTGGATCTTCTTTGAGGGCATGATTTAGTTCAGGTCTTCTTGTCCAGTCTTTGGCACTTGTGCATTGAATCTGGAGCCATTGTTTGCCCAACGTCTACCTAACCCCATTAATTTATTTTACTTCCTTGAATTACAATCTTCACCCATCATGTTAGTTTAGATGAAGCTGAATTTACTATATATCTAAAATTAGGGGATTATGCAATCTCTTAAGTTCTTGCCTTCTTGGTCATCTTTTTAGATAAACTGTTATTCTGCTGGCTACAAGTATACTCTGCTTTTCCAGAAATCTTTAGTTCTTGTTCTAAACAAAATCATCTATCCTTGATTGGAATCTTGAGATTGCACATTTTTCATCAAGGCAAAAAGGGCAGGACCTCGTTAAGAATGTCGTCCTAGTGGGCACAAGGTCGAACATGAAGCTACCAGTGAGTATTGTTTAATCCTATCCATTATTTTATAAAGCACCAAGATGTAGTATAACATCTAATGGTTGCATTGCTGCCATATGTCATATCTAAGATTTACAAAGAAAAACTAAATGAACATCCTTTTTTAGTCCTTGATTAGCTAAATTATCATCAAGTGGACCAGATTATCTTTTGGAGCCACTTTAAAATATAAAATATATGTTTCATGGGGCTGTAGGATATATTGTATAGATATGCTAAAAGATGAAACTTGAAAGAGTTAAGCGGATAACAACTCATATGGTGAAAGATGTTGGTCATCATCTCCTTCTCTTTCCAATATTATTCCCGTTACTTGTGTACATGACTTTGCAGGGAACACCGAGTTATCCTCTGTTAGCTTGGAGGATGGTGCTATGGGCGACCACGTCGGCAATGGCAACAGCGAAGGCAACAATGATGGTGAGAACATGGTGGTAGCCTAAGGTGACTTAGAAACTTATGAAGGTGTAGATGATGCTCCAGATCATGAACCAGTGGGCTTAGAAACATGAGTCTTATTGTTTTGGGTGGCGGTGGCATGTATGCGTACAACTGACATGTTACTGCTGTTGAGCAAATAAAACAACAGCAATTAAAATTTTCAGATGTCATCTACCAGATGTTCAATCATGCATGGATACGTGCTATGTATATACTGGTTTTAGATGCTTGTATGAAGATATGATGTGGATTTTCACTTAATGGGGTCATACGTGGACCATTGATATGTGCTAATAAATTTGTAATTATAGAAGGATATGGATTTGTCAGATACATGCTCAACATTGATCCCAAAGAAAGAAAATTACATGCTCAACATAATTCATTTTCCTGCGTGCCATTTTTCCTGTAGGCTGGCCATCACAATAAGTCTACCTATAAACCTGACGGCATCAAGATTTTCCTGAGGGTAGCCGACAGGAATAACCGTCAGGAAAATAATTCCTGTCGGCTGGCCGTCAGGCATTAAAAGATTTCCCTGTCGTTTTATTCCTGGCGGAATTTTCCTGTCGGGTAACCATCAGGAAATATTTTCCTGACGGGATTTGGCTTTTTCCTGTCGGTTCTTAGCCGTGGGGAAAAGTCTGTTTTCTGGTAGTGTTCTCCCGTCACGGTTCCCGGCTCGGGCGGTGTGTTCCGGTGGCAGAGCTCCTCGGTAGGCGGCGTTCTGGTACAGATCAGGCGGCTGAGTGGCGGCGGGGCTTGACCGACGACGCCCTCCAGGCCCAGATCTGGGCTCATTCGGGCCTGATCTGGGTCGGGGCAGGCCGGATTGGCCTCCGACTGGTCTGGCGAGCCATGAGAGAGGGGGCGGTGGCTATTGCGCCCCGTCTGTTGCAGCATGGCAGCGGGAGCTTAGCGAGCCTAATCTGGGCCTGGGCGTGCTCCTGCTCTGCGTCCGGTCTGCAACCGCTTGAGCCGGTGGAGGTTGTCCCCTCCCACGTGGCTGCGGTACTGCCGGCCCCTGTCAACGATGGTTTTGTTTGGCCTGGCCGGCCTCGCGACGTTTGTCGTGGTGAGACGATGATGGTGTCCTCGTGGCTGTGGTGGCGCATGTTGGTGGGCGGTAGGCAGGATGGAGTTAACAATTGGTCCTCGGCGGTGGGTGTGAGAGGTAGGGAGAAATCTCTGTCGGGCATGGCTGACTCCGACGTGATGACGCCTGTGGGCGCGACCACCCTTCTTGAAGGGCGCCGGGTATACCTCTCCCTCACTCCCCTCCGTGCACCGGGAGAAATCCTAGGACTCGTCCGAGCAGCAACGTCGTCATCGTCGCGGTCCTTCTTGAAGGTGCTGCTTGATACACGGCAATTCGATGGCATTGGAATGAGGCGGAATTCTTCGGTGGGCGCAGTGGTTGCGCGATTCTACAGCTTTCGTTGAGCTGGTGTTGCTCACATTTCTTTCTCTTATTTTTTCTTGTTTTCTTTTGGGCATGATTGTGCTGTCTACCCTAGCATGGTATCGTTGGTTGTATCAGTGACGATTGCTTTGTAATACAAAGCGGGGGGAAACCCTATTTCAAGGCTGCAATAAAATCACCCTTTCCATCTGGAGCAACACCTCCTGTGGCTCAAGACATGGTATTTGTACAAAATGAAGCATCAACGTTGACCTTTACCGATCCTCTAGCCTGGTTTTTTCACATGTGATCACGTTTTCTAATAGTACATTTTGGCAACGACGATCTGAAAAAATTGGAACATAGAACTCTTATAGCAAGAGCTGTTTGGTCTGGTGCTTGTAGTGTTTTGCCTTTAACAATCTGACAGCGCTGCCACCAATGTACCATGCTGCAACCGCGAAAATAATTCCGCTTTGGGCAGTTCACCGACTGCACCTTCAATTCTGCCCAAGATTTCCGTTATTACGGATCCCGACCGGTGGGCCACTGCCCTGTTTATCTCATCTGCAAAATCCAACTCAGCCCAAATTTTCTTTGCACGGGAGCAAGTGAATAAGCAGTGATGTATATCTTCCATTCCAACTTTGCATATTGGGCACTATGCACTTAGGGGGATGTGTCGTGCTGCTAAAATACCAAAATAAGGGAGAACACCTTTCAAAACTTTCCAGATAAAATGCTTAACTTTTCCAGGTATACAAGGGCGCCAAGCCGATTTCCAAATCGGATAATAAGGGAGAACACCTTTCAAAACTTTCTAGATAAAATGCTTAACTTTTCCAGGTATACAAGGGCGCCAAGCCGATTTCCAAATCGGATTAATTTGCATACAACCTTGGCCATCCTGTCGCAACCATTGATGCCCGGACTGGCGTTGGAACTCTACGCGGTAAGCTGATTTTACAGAGAAAGTCCCTGATCTAGTTGCACCCCACGCCACAAAACATCCAACAGCTCCACCTGAAGTGGTATCTTCATTATTCTGCGGACATCAACTGGTGAAAAAACTGACGCAATAGACAAGCATCCCACACTCATCGTCGATGGAAGCCATCGATCATCGGCAGAGATTATATTGGTTGACTTTTTTTCCAGAATTGTTTGATTTTTCTAGCATTTTTTGGAATTACTATTCACAGGGTCCGGCATAGGTGCCCTTATTTATTTCTTATAGCACACACCACTACTTTGTATATGTATTTTCTGAACTATACAATTAATAAGGGAGAAAAAAAAGGTGGAATAATGAAAATGAAAGAAGAAGAAGAAAACAGCAGAATAATACTATTATACTGGTGTCACCTATGGTGAGATTTTACTTTTTCCTTTTGTTGATCTGGTCATGAAAAGCTATTTTCGATAGGCGCCTCGTAGTCAACGGAAACATCTCCTTTCACTAAACGCGCATCGACGAAAATCCAGAAATAAATCCAGGATAAATGCGAGCATCAGGACCTGTACCTTGGTGGGCTGGGGAAACCACTCTCCTCCGAAACATCCAACCACAAGTTGGTTCACATAATTGAAAGCTGTTGCAACAATGGAAGAGCAGCAGATCAGAGGGAATGGGGGATATGGCCAGGAGGGTGGCGTCGGTTTGACGGTGGTGGTTATATGCGGAAAAAACTTGTGCTTTCCCAAAATCAAGCAGAAAATGTGTAGCCACACCCAAGAAAAATACCAAACCTTGTTCAAAAAATATATACTAAACAAAAAAAATATTTTGGATATTAGCATGACAAACATATACGAAATCTCTCCCGTTGCACCATTCGTAAACAAGGTTATAGGCATATACCATAATGCAAAATAAGCTTAATGTCTCAGCTTGTTGGAACACACAAACATGCCACGTACATAGCACACACCGAGTGCCTCAACACTTCTCGAAACTAATTCACACAGACACAGACACAGACACAAACACACACAAACACATGCACGCACAGATTATTTTGTGACCAGCCACTTAACGCGCTTCAGCTACTAATTTTCTCCATTGTGCTTTCCTTTAGAAAGTAAGGCACTGACGCCCTTATTTAGTAGTTCTTTTTTTGCGGGTGCCTTATTTAGTAGTTATAGCACACCACTACTCTATGGATACCAAAGGGTCGCCATTACATCATTTGCAGCACAACCTTATGGATAGACCTCGATGACACCCCGAGCTCCAAGTTTCTTGACAATTTTGTAGTCGCTAAACCCTGCTTCCGCAAAGATGGAACTCCATTCATTTTCATCCCGCTGTCGTCCCCTGGTATATACCATCATTGCCACATCCATCAGCAGTTGGGTTTCGAACATCTGTCCTGAAGAAGAGTCAACCACAATGTCTATGATAATCACTTTTCCTCCTGCTTCTCGGGAAGGAATGGCCTTCTTGCATTGGGCTAGGATATTGATGCAGTCCTCATCACCCCAGAAGTGTAGAACAAGCTGACATGGCAAAATATGTATGTGGTTAAGCACTGTGTAATAAGAAGACATAAAATTTATGAACTCGATGTAATTATGCATTACAATTGGCAGTTTCATTAAAATATAAAGGATTTTTTTTGCGAATATTAAAAAAAAATGAGGTATAGAATCACGAGCGCTAAAAAGGTACGACATTGTGGAGACAAACCATTTTCTACCTTGAGCATTACAGCTTGAGCAGGTGGGATGGAATGGAACATGTCACCGGCAACATAGTTAACGGAACCATCGCTCGAAGCTTTATCAACCACCTTTGGAAGGTCCAACACATTGCACTTTATATGCGGGTAGGCCTTAACGATGGACCTGGCTGTCGTCCCATCACCACCACAACAGTCTGTGAGCGACTGCAAGCCACTGAATAGGCCATGACATTCCCGCAATATTGTACCAATTCCCATATGGTCATGGGCAGCTAAAGCTTCATTGAACAACTTGTCACACTCTGGGTCGAGGACCGCCATACTCTCCTCGAAGAGTGCCGCACCGTGCACTTCCTCGAATGGTGACGGCACGGGCTGCGCGATATCCTTCTTGAACCAGTCGGCCAGCCCCATGGCCGCCTCCATGTAATGCCGGGAGGTCACGGCGAGCACAAGGGCCGTCTGACTAGCATCACCGTCGATGCGTACACCATCCACGAGGAGGTAGGACAGTGGGACGAGGCTGTAGATCCCAGCCTCGTTTGACGCCAGCACCCCCGTCGTGGACAGCAGCCGCAAGAGGCGGCCGAGGAACGGCGCCTTGGATGGCGGGAGGGACAGTGTGGTGACCAGGTCCGGCAATGACGCGGCACCGCCAAGACGATGAATCGCGGTAGGGATGCCGAGCTGGATGGCGCAACTGAGCGCCATTGGTGTGAGGTAGCTGAGGCTGTGGCGCCAAAGGTCAGCCTGCGCCTGGACCAGCTCAGCGTCGGTGGGGATTGTCATGGTCTGTGAAGACTTCGCTGCCATTGCTTTCTCTATGAGATTATGAGGCTGGTGTTGTGTGTGTTGATTACTTACCTAGCTTGGGCGGTTTATATAGCACCCATTTTTGCTACAGACAGAAATTAACACTGATTTAATTATTCACTCGTGGAACTCGAGTTGGGCTGTGCGCGTCGACATTTCTTACCCACACTGCTCAAAAGCTGTGAGCGAGGAGCTGTTTGTTTCAGGACAGGACTATACGCGTCGACATGCCTCGTTACGCTACACACACTGCTCAGGAGCAGAGCGGGGTCTGTTTGTGACGGACACAAGATATAGCACCAAGATTCCTTTCCACTATACTGCCAGATAATTAGTTTCATGGACAGCTCAATAATTACTAGCTTTAATGCAATGTGCTCCCTAGGTACACCTGGCCTGTACTCTGTCTATGGAGTATGGATCGAGATCGAATAATTTGTTTGTGAAAATAAAATAAAAGATGACGTGGAGGGCTTACATGTTTTTGATGTGGAGATTTGCATGTGGTAGAAAGTGAAATATAAATGAATTGCATCTGGTTGATGAAGTCGAGGGTTTGCATGTGCTGAAAATGGATAAACTACTTAAACCATCTCTTGCAGATCCCGTAAAAAGGCCATCTGACAAAATAACCGCCGGTCTACGGGATGAGGACATTTTTTCCGTCCCCAATAGATCCCGCAAAATCGTCCGTCCTCTAAATTTTTTTGCGGAACCTGCATATTCCGGGCTGTTTTCTCTATATCTACGAGATTGGGGGCAATTTTTACATGGACGTTAAAATAAAGAAACAGTTGGTAGGAGGGAACTTTATTCACCTCCCGCCATGGTCTTTCCCGAACGCGACCTCGCCGAAATGCCTCAACGCCGATGACCACTGGATCCTAACTGTCGCCACTGCTCGAGCCGCGAGCCGCTGCCATGAGCTTCGCGGGCTAGCTAGCTAGCTAGCGGCTCTGGTGCGCGAGCTAGGTAGCTAGCAACTGATGTTGTCGCCGGCACGAGCTAGCTAGTTGCCACCACTACCGCCTTCTCCTGCTAGCCGCCACCGCGGGATTGATGCGGATGGCGTCTTCTTGCTGTGAGCTCCAGCGCTGACCCTTTGTCTATCGTGATGAGATCGTCGTGGTGGAAGCGGCCGAGGCTGACCCAATTGTAATTTAGCAGGCGTTTTAGGGGTTTGTGCAATTTTGTCAAGACCATGAAATATTTTTACGGGATCTGTTCTGTCAGAACAAAAGCCATACTGTAAAAATGCGAAAAAAAATACTTTTTGCTTTGTAAACCAATTTTTACAGGACGTGATATACCGGATCTGCTGAAGATGCTCTAACTTACAAAATAGAGGGTATAGGATAGGATTAGCTCTCAAGTATGGCAACACATCATAGATTTTTTGTTATGAATCCAAGCAGCACTGCGCTCTTCCGTCTGCTGAGTGGAGGCCAATCGATCTAGGAGTAGATAGGTAGCAAGTTGTGCACGACAAAGAGACATCACACACCGCGCGTCATAAACTGAACAGCCTCGACGACCTGGAAATAGCAACAGAGGGCAGAATTACTGCCACAAAGGTGGGGTTCGTCACTCGTAAGGTCTCTGATCTATCAGTTGTTAGCTAGCACATGCATTGGTCGAATAAACAACGACGAGCTAGTTGCCGCGTGATGCACACGCCTTTTTATATGACGTGCGCAAAGAGAGTTCTATTCACTACTACGGATCAAAGTTTTACGGTTGGTCAAATCTGCCTTGTATCATGCATGCTAACTAGACAATTTTAATGAGGTCACGTACAATTAAATGAAGAAGAAAAATGTTGAGTATCATATTATGATACTGTATCATAATAAATTTCATGCTACTATGTGTCACTATGGATGTAGTATCATACATTAGTATCATATGCATTATACTAGTATATGATACTCCCCACTATGACCAGCCTAAGCTAGTGCCCTCTCTCTTTTCCCCCCCAAAATGGATGTAATTAATCATTCATTACTCGGCGTCCTCGTTCAGGTCACAATAACATGAACAAATAATCCATCTTCTCAGCATGGATCATAGCTTCACACTGGCGTAGCTAGGATTTTTATGTCAGGGTGGTCCAACTGTAGAAAAAATACACCACAAACAAAGCACACCAACATATCATGCGAAATTTATCAAAACTTACATCAATAAGGTCTTACAAAGCATATGAAAATTCACAGTTTAATTTCTGAATTTGCATAAGAAAACAGCACGCCTTATTTGCCGGAATAACGCCTTTTCAATGCCATGAAAATATCTATTACATCATCTTCGCTCTTCTGCCATGGTTGCGACCAATGTCGGAGAAGGTTATGAAACCGGAGGATCAACCCTCTTCTTTGCTGCGTATTGCATAAAAAGAGATACAATAACGTATCCATTCCTTTTTCATTTTGCAACAGTTCTACAATAAAAAGAAGTTCGATCTGTTAATTGTCTGTCTGATTCAATACATAATAATCGTTAATCAATCAGGCTCAATACATCTGTTCCGATTTCCAATTTGCAATCACGAGTAAACTTATTTAAATCTTAAAGGAAAATTAACTTTAGATTTTAAAAAAGATGGAGATTATACTTTAATCGGAGAAGATGAGAGTGAGCTCCTATGTGGTCGACAGTGCACGTGTTTCCAGCCGCCAGGGCGCCACGGCCCCTAGCGCACTCCTCCAATCTGCCTCTACCTGCCCGCAGCCGGCCGTTAATCACCGGCTTGTGCTGCCTTCATCTCTGTGCCTCGCTAGGGTTCGCCGGCCGTGCATCGGTTCGAGTAATCATATAGGATACGAAGGAAACGAGGAGAGTTTTTCTGGGAGGCTGGGAGCATACAGAATACGAAGCAAACGAGAAAGCCTAGCGATCGGATCAGCTGCAGTCCTTGTATTTTGGGCTTGGGCCTTGGCCGATGCAAGCAAATATATATTTTTTGTTAATTAGCATATACTATATAGTGAAGTAATGGGCCAAATTACAGGGTGGTCCATGGACTATGCCAGTGCAGCTTCATGTGCCGCTCCAATCTCAGCAAACATTCACAACATTATACCAGGATTGGCTGCACCAATCTTCACAATGGGACGAGAGGTGGATCCTTCACCGGTTTGTACCTTCACCTTTAGATTTACTTTTCATATGATGCCATGCTAAGACGTTGAGCTGGTAAAAATTAGAAGACATGTGAATATATATGTAGTCGCTTATGCAGCCGCCGCCGCCTCCTCCAAAAAGCTGGGTTCCTTCGTTTCCCACCGGCGCCGCCACCGGTCCACCTCGTCTCCGGTAGCACTAGGGCCATGGGGGCGCGGTGGATCCTGGCCTTTGCCGGTAGGAGGGCTCCGTTTTTAGACGATTCTTTTGGTTTTGTTAGGGTTTGTATCCTACTCAGGAAGACGAGATGATGGCGGATCCTTGAAGATGGAATAAGGTTCTCCCCGCTTAGCCCCCATTCCGGTGGTTCGTCTAGCATCGTCGGAGGGCGTGTGAAACTCTCATGATTCGGTCGGTGGTCGTGTTTGTGTGTGTCTTCAAGTTGGATCCTTCCGATCTATGTATCTCTTCATCGATGGCGGTTGCTGTTTTGATGCGCTAGTCCTATGGGGCCTTAGGATGACGACTTCCCGATTGTCTGCTATAACAAGTTTTCCCAACTCTAGCTTGGGAGGGGTGATGACGGCGGCACGCCTTTTCTATTTCTTGCTAGACTACCACATGTTCTTGTTTCTCTTGCTGCCGGGATCACTGCCACCGTGTTTTTCTGCTGATCTATTCGTCAAAGGTTGTTGGGTGGGGGAGGGTGCGTGGATGCACCCTTCTATTTCTTACAAGATTTTGGATATTTT